TATCGATATATCAAAAAAAATTCCCATGCCTACTCGTGAACTCTTTTTTCATGCTTATTCCATTACCGGTGCCAGAAATGAATTGCTGTTTCTCTAGAGAGAAAAACTGAAAAATGGTCGATTCCTTCAATTTGCTGTAACTCCTTTATTTTTAAAGCTACACCAAAATGTCTTTAGCATTATTCAAGCACTTTTTAACGTAGAAATCAATGTCGTCAGTCGTTTTGTTTCTAGACCTTTTAGTAACTGCGCTGCAAGTCAAAGTTGATTTTTTTCATGGAAATTATTGTTCACCGTCTTTTGTTGTTTAGTTTCAGACAAGATGTACGTATTATTAAGCAAAACTGATTGTAGAAAACTTATTACTAAAAATAAGTATGATATATTATACACTTGGGGAAAGCTCGTAAAACAATAAAAGTTTTCCGTATTGGAAAATCAAAATCGTCAAAAAACTGAAACGAATATTTATAATAGGTCGTCTTGGGCCATTGGCCTCGAATTAAACACGTTAATTATACAAAGGACGGATTCTTAGCGCCTTTAATTCTAGGTGCGGAAGAATATCCGTTATTCGATGAACGTTTAAAATAGGTAGGTATTAACGTTACCAAAAATTAATGAAGAGTTACGATTACTGCAATAGGGGCTAGACACCCTAAATTAAAGAAATACTGGTTGCAATGGGCAGCTAAATGGAATTATTTGTTTAGACAATGTGCCTAATCAAAACGGTACATACATATTTATCGCAAAGAAACGAGAAAAGAAATACGTCTTACTTTGGGAGATCGTATCGCTATTGAGAATAAACACATGTATGACTCTCGAGGGGCAACCATTTTTAACTTAAACAAAATTAAACCTAGTGCAGGAAATCGTATACAAAGCCACAATTAAATTTTAAAGCAGTTGAAGTAAATGCAAATGAAAACTGATTAGAATTAGCTTCTGTTTGCCAATCACGAAATTTTGAGCTGTAAAATGGTACACTTTTGATGTTGCTGGGGTAGCAATCAACACGTTGAAAGCTTGAAAGATTTAAGCTGGCAGCGATTGAAGGACCAAAGATAAACGCCTTACCTAAAAGAACCGCAGTTATATCAGGTAATATTGTTGAAGACAAAATTTACCTTCGGTGAAGGCGTAGATAATGAAATAAGAGAGCACAGTAACTTAACACAAAACCGAGGCATTCCGCTAATTGCGGTTTTAAGATATTTAAAACATTACTAGATAAACCAAGACCCACACGATCTAGCGAAACATTCGGTTTAAAGAATGAAGCACGAATGAATCCTTTGGACAACCCTAGCAGTCAGATCCAAAAGCATGGCAAGTTACATAAAGCGATTGTAGGTGTATGTGTCTACTGGAAAATTGTTTGGTCGTGATCGAGGTCCCCGAGGATCATCTCATTTTTCCCCCTTACATCGTTTTGTATTGACTTATTCAACAAATTACTTACAAATCATAACGTATTAGCAGATTTTACATTACTCGGCTATTCCTTAGTAAAAGTTGTAATAACATTTTACTTAATATTACTGAAAATAAGTCAAATTGAACTGTCTGTTTAATTAGAAGCGATTACACAGGGTGACTCATTCGTGAAATCTTCTACAAACTTGAAATATATAGTTTTTTTAAGATATACCATTCAATGGATATACCATGCAAGATGGTGCATTCGTATTGTGTTCTACTATAATCCTCTAGAAGATAATACTTGTAGAGCCGTTTTTTCTGTGAAGTTAGATTAATGGTTATACGTTTGTAATAGAATTACGAAGAGAACCATGGCAATTCACTTAAAATACGACGTGAAAATTTCAATCATAAACATATAAAAACCCTCGCATATTTTTAATTCCCCCTTCTGACTTTTCCCAAGTTAAATCAAGGAAGTTGACGGAATAACAAGAAATCTCAGCACCTTATTATAAAAATAATAACGCTTTATTCGTACCATCTTCTTTTAGTCACTTTCGTTTCAAATTCTTCTTTGAAACTTTATTCGTTGTCTTGATAGGCTTTATAGAACGGTTGGGACTTCCATATGCCACTTCCACACAAAATAGTGGTATTCATACAGTCAGGTTTCCGCACTTACACTTCCTATAAATCAACTAAGCGTTCTGCAACTAGTCCCTACATGCATTTTCCTCAAAGTAATTAAAATATACATTTAAGTTGCCTGATTTAGTTAACAAATGTGAAGTCTTCAACGAGTTCCTCACAAATGAAACTCTGTTCAACAATACTTAGAGTTTAATTTATTAAAATCAAGAAGTACCGAAACAGAATTAACACAAACTTCGTTAAACCCCTTTAAAATAATTCTTTATGCTTGCTAACGACGACAACCTCGTTACAGTTTCGGGCGGAAAACAATTGAGTCTCGGTACAGGATTATTAAAACTAATCACCGCTAAGCTACCGAATAGGTACTAACATTATTTCAACTTTGTAGATCTTCTCTCAACTGCACATAACTTTAGGAGAAAAAATTTAACCCCAGACATATAATTACAAGGTAGCTATATCGCAAGATTTATATGCGTCCACGGCTTACAATTATTCAAATTAGCATAAAATATAACTTGAAAAATTTAGGTAGATCAGTACATTTCTAACTTATCACGTTCAGAATTAAAATTAATTACACCGTGGGAAGGCGCCTGAATGCTTAACGAGGAACGAAAGCCAAAGAAAATGTATCGTGATTTATACTGTGAGGGTGTAGCATTTGATCCTAAGTTTAAACGCTATTAAAACGCTTTAGAAGGGGCGGGCGGCGATAGTTGCGAGAAATTAACACGTAGGGTTGAAATAAATTTCGCAACAATATAGAGGTTTGTATTCTGTAAAAGAGAGTTTAATAGAACCTAATGATTAATCCAATGCAATGCTTCTATTGTCAACCCGCTCAAACAAACACTGCAAACAGACAAAATATCGAAAATACCTACAAGCAAGGGGCGCAATCACTGATTCTCGATATAATTCGACTGAATTTTGTTCGACTCTAAGAAAAACACTGTTAATTAAATCCCTATTATAGAATATTTCACGAATATTCTGAAAGATGTCATATATAGGATGTTTTTTTTAATGAATAGTACGGGGTATTTCGGAAAGTATAAGAGATACGAATTAGGTTAAACGGGAAAAGATTTGCATTTTTCACGTACCCGATTAAATAAAACAAACAAAAAAACAAGAGGGATCGTGAATAGCGCGACACATAAATTATTAAGAAAAATTCGGAAGTCACTAAAAGCATAACCTTCACTTATCCCTTTCTATATAAAAATTTGAATTATTGGAAAACTCGCGGAACTTGATTTCAATTTTTAATGGTTCACAATCGAATTTTGCTAAGCCCAATAAACATGGACTTCTCCCTCCACCAACTCCGCACGTTTTTTATTCATTTACAGATAAAACTGCGCGATTATCCCTTGGTGTTTTTCCGACCGAAATACTATTCTGGAACTTTTCACGGACACTGGGACAAATGTCCGAACTTCTTGTTGCTTGAAATGTAACGAAACCCTCAACGGCACAGTTTCACTCAGCACAGTTTGCCCAGATTCGAATTTTAAAAATACTTTTTTTTGTGGTGCACTGCTTAAACTCGAATTAATTACGAAATTTCCCGGGATGCCCCCCCCCCTTCATTTCTTACTTCATTAATGGTCACCTACAAAATGGCGAATTGTTAACGAAGTCGGACACATTTAATCGTTAATTCGTTGATTACAAATCCCGCCCTACGAATCAATAAAAGCTAGGGTGGTTTCTCCACGTATTTTTGAGATAAAAGTTCGCATTTTTAACTAAATTCCTTGATTAAGATAACTGAAGGTGATCCCCATTCCCAGACATCTCTCCGCCTGGGTTTCCCATATACAACTAATAAACAAGGCGCTATTGAAATTAACCAACACAGAGAAGGCCAACCGAATTTTCACCACGGTTTAAGAACATTATTATGGCAATTCAACTCATATATAAAAAATCGCATAAGCCGCAGTGCAATTGTCACCTTGACAGCGGCAAAAGTTACCTGCAACTTTTCCAGCGACAAATGCACTATACTTTGTTTCAAGGGTGCTGAACCTTTCGTCACACTATCTGACGTCATAGCAAAATTAAGGCAGGTCGTAAATTAGTAGTTGGTTTACATATTGTCACATTGACGTTTCAACTTATTTATTAAGGTGTCACTATCGTTCATTATTATCAGACCGTCCAAGTTGACAATCACTTGTAAGGCATCTGGTCCTGATAGGTTTTTTCCTGTCCCCAGGTTTTATAATGGCTAAATGGTCATGTATTTAATATAGAGGAACTCCGTTGGTATGAATTAAACTCGAGATTAAACTTTTTCCACCGTTTGTAATCACCTCATGTAACGGATTCTTTGCACCGACGACAGTCGAAATGGATACTGCCAGAGCATCAGAAACTCTTTGAGATGAAGTGTATGATGGTTACAGAAAACGCATAGGAACATTTGTAACTTAAAGTTTGTTTAGGCAGTTCGTAAATTAATATTTCGTTTACCTAATGTTGATGTGAAATTAAGCATGCTACCAATGTGAAGAATACGCGTTAAGTTGCGCGAATTTTAATGACCCTTAACTAGCCATTTGCAGAAGTAGAATAGGCCATGGTTTATCGGTAAGCCTTTCGCATTTATATATCTTACAAATTTGAGATAAAGCGTAGGCATTATAGCACAGGTTCATTGAAATAACAACGCATACATACAGTTTCTGTTCTTTTGCCACACACTCGAGATATTCGCATAAGGATCTTGAATATCTACTGATCCGATTTATTTTAAAAAAAAACGCAATTGTGAGAGAAAACAGGTAGTGAAGATATTTATTCCTGAAAAAACTCCCAAATGTTCATATTCAAATCGTATGTACAAAAGAAAAAAACGACACTACACCACAAGTAGGTATAAACGGCCCAAAATAATATTCTTAAACACGCTGATTCTCTTCTGCCTCATGAATATAATCATCATAATAATCTTCGTTACTATCAGATTCGTCCAAGTTGACAATCACCGGTAAGATGTCTAATGTATCAATATGTTGTTCCCGTTCCCAGGCCTGGTTTATAATGCCTCTTGTATGATCAAAATATCTTTTCCATTTTTCCGGTGTAACCTAAACATTCAAGTTATTAAGTACTGTTTCACAAAACAGCATATAAAGAGGTTACTTTGTGCAGTGCCTCATTCCATAAAGACAAAACGGCACTGTGTGTGACAGGCAGAATTGAACCGATCCTTGCATCGTAATGCCGTTTGCATTCTGACCATACCATTTCGATTGGATTATACTCGCAGTGATATGGAGGAAGTCTCAAAACACGATGACCATGTTGTAATGCTAATTCGTTCAATCTGTAAAAATCAACGTGGAGTGAAAAAAAACCATAACAATCAGCTTCCTATCCAAAGGTCTACCTAACTGCAACCAAACATTTAATTATCAGCGATGCCTACCTAAATAGTTTTGGTGGTATATGATTTTTCACTACTTCCCAGATCTGATCTTGCATCATTGTTGGTGCAAATGTAATGTCTCGTGATGTTAGCCACTCTATAAGTGACATTTTTGTCCAGCATTGATTTGGACTTTTTTCTACCAATCCTGAATGGTAAGAAGCGTTGTCCATAATTATAAGAGAAGGTTCATCCAAGTTCGGGAGCAATTGTTGTTCAAACCACTTCTCAAAGTTAAGGCAATTCATGGAGTCATGATAGTCTCCGCGGACTTGCTACCAGATTTAAAAATTAGACTTGCGTTTGGTACAAATCCATCTTCTGATCCTGCATGGAGTATTATATACCGGACCCCTTCACCACTTTTTTTTCTAACTGTTTTGAGAGTACCATCTTGCCAGCTTCTTCTAAAAGACCCTTTACTGTATATCCAGGTTTCGTCTAAAACCACAGGTCGTAATGGAAAGAGTGACGTTTCGTTGTGTTTAAAGTCTCTCAAAAATTGTAGTCTTCTTTGAGCTATATAGAGCTGTTCCATTAAAAATAATCTATTAGAAACGGTGCATCTCCGCCACGTGAATTTCAGCTTCTTCAAACTGCGGGACAAAGAGGTAGCAGATATTTCTACGCCATCAAGTCGTTGAAGATTACTGTGTAAAGAACGGAGTGTAACATTCTCACCTATAAAATCAATTCCATAAGTGTTCTCGCGAACGTCTTCATTTGAAGCAAATCTTCCCTTAGAACATAAAGAATGTTATTTACCTGTGGCATAAATCCGTGTCCTTATTACATGTTCATGTATTTCATGCAGCGGAGGTCCGTGAGATAAACTAATAGCCACACTTTTTTGCGATTTGTAATCGTCATCTTTTTTAACACCTCTTGTACTAATTCTTTTTACAGTCCACAACGATACACCCAGGGCAGCACAAACCCTCTGTGATTAAGTAAGCATATGATTATAGCAAACGCATAGGAAACACTTACATCATATACTGCGCTTACGGGTGTTAAAGTTTTGCCTGCTTCTTTTTCCCCTTGGAAGTACTGAATCAACTTCAAAATCAAACTTTGCTCACCTTCTGTGTATCGGTTCGTCATATTTACCTAATTGTAACGGTAATGACCTAAATTCATGATATGAGCGAATCGAACCTTTATGTAAAATTTTTAAAATACTTGTCTGTTAACGGCGTTGCTGCACTGTGGACTTGCCTAAGCGTTTTCAACTTTGATGATATTTACTTCACTTTTAACACAAACTACCTAATCAAAAGGCATTTAACACTGGAAATCTGTCTATAACGAAAATCGTTTGACGGATTGATATTATTGACAGATCAATAATTGGTTTATTTGTCACGACTTACGTTAATGACGTAATTTTTTTGTCTCAATCGATTTAAATGTAATGAAGAGAGAATCACATTTATGACGCCAGGTTCAGCACCAGTGAAACAAAGTATAGTGGTTTTTTCACTTATTCATTTTCGAACCAATTATCGCATTATCCTTTCCCATATGACTAGTTTGACGTCTGTCAATAATTGATTAGTTTGATGAATTTCTTGTTCGTTAAATTGTCCTGCCGAATTACACTCGAGGTTTGTATTGAAACCGAGTAAATTTGGGTTGTTGCAATTCAAATCTGTTTCCTTTTAGCAATTGAACTCGAAAAACTGTCAACCTAAAAATGCTCCACCTGCGGTGTCGCATTTTTATTAGTTGACAGTTTCGTCTAATTGCTAGGCAACAGATTTTCATTACCTAAACAACCCAAATTTACTCGGTAAAATACAAACCTCTTGTGCAATTATAAGTGAAAATTCTACTATATGTAGCATCTATGGTAAAACAACCCACTAAACTTCGACAACCTGTAAATTTCCTATGATACGTCATACCCAAACCACTCAACCCCTATAAATCTCAAAATCTCTCATATTTTGAATTTATATTTGTTGTGTGCAGTCAAATCAGCTCAAGCAAGAGCGCCACGTTTTTAAGTTCAGGGTAAAAAAGGACCAAATTTCTGTAAAGAATTTAGAATTTGTTTTTGTATTGAGCTAGCCCTCGGTAACTTTGAAAAAATTTATCATTACAGGAGAAAGTCAATTTTAAGTAGTACAATCAAACTGTTGCACTGGTGCCCACCATAGATATGAAAATTCTATTTATAAAAAAAGCATGAATACTAATTTTTTATTATTTATATAGGGCTTTTTTTGGTCTACACACAGATAAATAGCAGCAGGTGACAAAAATTGATAAACGTAGACATGCCCTTAGGCGGACAAAGGGAAGTAACTCAGGTATTAGTCATAAATTTCTATCTGTCAATATTGTTGCCATAGTCCATTTTTCGAATAGTTCGAAAAATGAAAAGAAAACATTTCATAAAGTTTACCACACTGACTGTACAAAAATAAACCCCTAAAGCGGATCTAAAAAAGCGGCATTGGATTTGGTACATTTTCAATAGGTACCGCCTTAAAAAAATCCCTAGCTTGACATTAAATAATCAAGTTACTGTTTCCATAGCAGACGCAGATTATCATTAGAACAAATTCGTGTAGAGCTGGTTGCCTATTGTAGCCATCTATTTCATGCATTTGTTCCGTTTTTTAAGTATACCTACAAAGCCGCCAAAAAGAGGTCTCGTTGACCTTGGATGTCTTTGAGTGTAATTAGATACCGCACAAATTGAGTTCATTGACCTTGGATGACTTCGTACATGTAATTTGACACCGTAAAATTGTATGGCGTAAAAATGTAATTTAACACCACGATTCACTGACCTTGAATGACGTGATTCGAAATCGTATAAAAATGCAGTCATTAACCTTGACATTGTAATTATCCATAAAAAAAATAGGGCCATGGACGTTGGGTAACGCTGAAAATGTGATTTGGCACCACAAGAATTAAGGGCATTGACCTTGGATGGCCTCGAACATGTAATTTGGCCCCGCAAAAAAATGAGAACATTGACCTTGAATGCCCTTCGAATTTAACACCACTACATTTGATGTCATTGACCTTGAATAATTTTGCAAAAGTAATTTGACTCCCCAGAAAAAGAAATAAGGACACTAAAACTTGTCCTTTGAGCTTTACCTCGCTCTATTTTTCAGTCACCGCTACGTGACACGTGACCTTCACCTTGACACACAAGGTCACTTTGACCTACTTTCCAAGGTTTAAACAAAATGTGACCAAGAGTTTGGTGGTTGTCGTGCTCAGGGACCGACGGGGAGCTCTGTCGCATAATAGATCAAGTAGAGTATACTATGAACCGCGTATATCCTTGGGCATGACGTATGACCGATTAAAAAAAATGGTTTAATATTCAGACGACGGCAGTCAACTGTTAATCCCCCTTTTAAAGCTAAAGGCGATTATTACTGCGAGTGTATTGATATAAGAACAGTAATAATTTGAGGTGTGTTAGTAGATTATGACAGTAAAAGAAATGTTATGATTACTGTTAAAGTAATGTTAATCTCAAATATTGTATTTAGCCAGATGTTTGTATGCAATTCAGTCTTGATTTGTCAGTTTCATTCAGGCAGGTTGAATGTAAGATTTCTGAGGTTTGTGCATTTATGATTCTTTGCCACATTGACTGCTTGCTCCAGCTACTTGGAGTCGGTTGTCGCGTCTATTCACTGTGCCCGACTGTAATTTTTCACTTAGTTCCTAAATATTGTCTAAATTCGTCACCTCCTACCAGTTGACAAAGCAATGACAACGCTGAAACGATTGACTTTTTTTATCAGAAAAAAAGCTATGTGGGAAGATAATCTGCAATAGTATTTCTTTTGAAGGTTTCAATCCTGTGATTTTCTGTTTCATACAATTCTTGGCTGCATCTTCGGTAAGTGCAAGTGTTTAACTTGTGATCAATTTGATACCAGTGGTCAAATTTTGCAAGTGTTCCGGATTTAAAATGGCAAGTTCACGTTTAGTAAAATTCAATGTGTGATAATATGTACCCAAGTCGACAGGTCCCGCGCTAACAAAAACGGGAAAAACACGAACTCGGAACACCAGCGTAGTAATACAAACCTCACACCTAGCCTTACACTCAACAATGGCCGGCTTTTCTACGTTCTGAAAAATGCACTCACTCGTACCCAAGCGTTTTGTCTGAACTTATTGAATTTGAAAAGCAAAAGAAAGCATATTGAATAATTTGTCAAAAGTGTAAAATGAATCAAATATGCCGAAAGAGCAGACATAATACATTTAAAGCCAAAAAAATGCCATGTTCTTCTAGGACATCGAAAAAAAAAACTCAGCCGAAGAACATTCCCAATCCCTGTTTACAGAGGATAAGTAGAGAGGGAATGGATAGCCAGATAGATTTCAAAGCTATTCCACTTTGTGAAATAATTCCGAAGTTTTGACATAAGTACATGAAATACATTGTTAATTAACCCGGCCTTCTCCAGTCCAGAAGGGATCTGAAGGATCTGGATACGGTAACCTTAGACTAAAGTTCTATTCGAAATGAATGCCGCTAACTATCTTTATCACTTATTCGGCATTTACCTCTGCACTCAAATAAGGCAGATTTATACACAAAGAATTGAAGTCGCTAATCAATCTAAATGAGAAAATTAATAACTGGCTCAAAAATAGGAATAAAACTTATATTGAAAGCAAATAAAACCAAATTCAAGGAGTATTTTAGTTTTAGGCAACTTATAGGAGACTGCATGAAAACGAGGTTTTACAATTTTCGCAAAAGTGAAAGAGGAAACGAAGGTGAAATATCTTCGGATGTTTTTGCGGTGTCTCTAGAACTACTTGTCTATGTTTGATTTCATGAGCTTAGTAGGCGAGTTAGTAGGTCATTGCTCTGGAGGGTTATAAATCAATAATTGTATCTTGGTACAAATGGTAAAAGCTGAAAAGTAAATCCTTAAACGGTATTAAAATTTCGAAAAATCGTAGATGTAAAACGAGACTTGATATAAAACCTTGAATGCCAGTTTATAAATAAAATTTAATGAAAGAAGTTGGTAACATACAGACCCTGATCATTTGTGTCATTCTTCGTTTCGCCCTAGCCTAATTGTCGTTAAACTCTACACCTATATTGGATTGAGTGCTTAAAAGCACAATATAGGATCGTTTGAGGATTCAATTCCTATACCACTAGACTCTCGAATGCATATGAATAATTCATCCCTTAATCCAAATTACTAGTCCAAACGTGAACTACCCAGATATAGAACCTTTTTTTATTATTGCTAAACTTTAAAATAGATGTTCAGGTAAGGAAATCCGATGATGACACGTAAATTATAATACCTAGATGCTCCAATTCCTGGTGTGATTGAACAAGTTTGTGAAAGCAGCAGCAGATGTGGATTACTTGATGCACTTAGTGAGATGAGAAGCGTCCGTGATTGCATTCAAATTATAATTTTGATCTACGCATTACGTTAAAACTTGTACAACTCGTCTCTCGTTATTACGTTCAACTAAAAAGCTCAAGCCGCAAAAAATGTTTTCAGCGGATTCAATTGAAGTTTTGGTACGTTTAACTAATTACGTAACTTCGAGATGTTGAGGCCATACACGGCCGCTTGTGTATTTATTTATTCCAGTCGTAAAATGTAGCTACGGGGTGCGTTACCATATTTGTATTTACACTCGTTTCCCCTAGTGACTATTTTAAGAGTGCCCAGCGTGTTGCTTGTTACAGAGGCGTCTAACTTAATGTTATTGATTGCACGTTCCACGTTAATTGCAAAGTCAAACTTTGGAGGTAGCCACGCTAATTTACTAAATGTGCACACTATACTTACATGCTTATGTACTCTCGGAATTATATTGTACACAAAAGCTGTATGTACAACGGAGAGTTGAGTTCTCCGTGGAGCCATAGATAATATTAACATGTAGCAGTTTGTTAACAAACTATGGACAGAAATATTTATTGCTAGTTTGCCCATCAAAATGAATTACAGCTGAGCTTTGACGTAGCTATAAACTGTTTCTCATTCTCATTAACTACTGCTGTTTTCAACCTTTCGATAATAAATGTAATGGTTAATTTAATGAAAATCGATTCTCACGTTAACAGGGTTCTGGGTATATTATTATCAACGCCCTCATATTCTCTTCGAAAGTTATGGAAAAATAATATTTAGTTGATTTTT